TGTAATTCACCCGTTTCAGCCTGAATGCATACAGGTACTTTGTGATAATCCCGTAATATTAGTAAATATTATACATCTTTTTTTTTATTTGTAGTCACTATTTATTTAAGAGATACTGGCCTGAAATGCAAAAATATATTTTATGTAACCGTTACCAGTTTTTGTACTATCAACCGTGTTTAGTAATTGAATCTATCACCATCAAATATAACACTTTTGTTGCACTTAATGTAAACTTTAAACGTGTTCAAGTGTGATGCACATTTTAATGTACAAATACATTTCAAACAAATGAAAATATGACTTTTTAACCAAATGTTGTTTTCCATGCCAGATGTATAATATTTAGGTTAAACTATTTTCAAGAACAATATAAGGGTGGAGTAGTTTCTTGCCTGAAGGGATTTATACTTACTTTCTTGTCCAGAAGATCCGTCAACCAGCTGCGCATCAGGGTTAACCTCTTCTGTTTCGACAGGCTGTAATAAGATGAGAATTATATTTAGTCTACAGGTTTTATCACTTCGCTGCCACACATATTATAGATGTTGCAATTTTCTAACACTGTACGAATATAGTGCACAATTCACTTTCTGTGTTGGATAAATTTTAAGCAGAAATGAACATGGAATACATAAAAATTGCGTATTTAGATTCTTAACCATTTCACCACCTCCTTTCATCACAAATTCACAAAATAGTCCTATTTATAGTCAGAAGATTTGAACAAAAATAGCCACATTTTTTGAGTAAAAACTGAAAATTGAAAGTCTGTTAGTAATCTTTTCACCACTAGACTTTCTCGGCCAAATTTTCTTCTATTCTTCAATATTTCTGGAAATGAACCCTAATTTTGGAGCCAACAGACAAAATTTAAGTAATTTCTCAGTTTTTACTCAACAAATTTGGTTATTTTTTTCCCACTCTTCTGAAGAAAGTACAGACCAAGAGGGAACTGGTGGTAAAATGGTTAAAAAATTAAACATGGTAGACTTACTGCATTAGGATCAGGTAAATCCAAAACTTCACCATTTTTGTGAGCATCGATGGCCTCAGGAACAAGTTTATCGATGTTCAGTACATGTATGCCATTTTCTGTGAAGAAAGCACAGTGAGATATAGTCACACACCTTTAAGTGGAACTACCAGTTTCTGGTAATAATATTTTTTTGTATATCAAATTCGAAATTACAGAATTCTTACCATTAGCCATTTTATGCAACGCTGTCGTTTTTCCACTGAAAAGTTTCCCCAAGAAGCAAGCTTTGATCGGAAATGATGCAAATTCTGGAGCAGGTGGAGGAGGCTGTGAACATGAACACAAATTTATGTTATGAAATTTGTATATAGTTTAAATAATACAAAAAAGGTAGCAATGTACTATCATCATTAAACTTGAATGTATCACTTCATAATGCACAAACATTAATCAAAAGATTACAACCGATTAAATAGGCCACTTCCCGTTTGATTCAGCAAAAGAGCGCCACACAGGTCATATTCTAGATACTAAAGTTTGGATCATGTATCTCTGAGCGATCATTTATGCAAAAATAATAAGTTTTTAGCCATGCTTTGACTTGGTTGAAATGATCCTTGAAGATGAATTCGAAAGAAATGCTTTAACTAAAAGAATTGGTACCGCCAGCTAAAAACAAAATATTAAGGAATTCTCACCGATGGAGGATGAACAATATCAAATAATCTTTTAACAATATGACCAAGTATGGCGTTGTTTGCAGGTGGTTCTTTGACTTCACACTCATCAGGTGGTTCCCACTCGCCAACAAGGTTCTGAAATTAATGGAGATGAAAACAGTTCAGAACTCAATTGTAGTAAATAATAATAATCTGACGATAAAATTAATAATTTGAAGTATTCTTACTTTGTATTCTAAAAAGTCTCCCTCGTTTAATAGCAGTTGTCGCTCTTTTTCAAGTTTTTGTTCCTCTTCACTAACTTCTTCTATTTTTTCTTCCTGGGTTGAGAAGAGAGGAAAGAATAATAATGTGAATATTAAAACAAATAATTAAATCTTTAGTTCATATTCAGATCCAAGACTTTGTGACAATTTGTTTTTTCAATGACCATGGGTTGTAATGCAAAATAGTCATCGACACACTGTACTTACATCTGTTTCTTCATATATAGGATTTCCTTCTCTGAATAGCAGTGTCCAATCTCGCATCAATTTTTCAGGTAATAATCTGTAAATTAAAATAAAATAAAACAACTTTGCTCACAGAACATACCAGATAGAGCTGGTGACAATACTCTAATATGATGTGTTCATAAGCACAATAATGAGATTTCTCAGAGTCCAAAACTAGTCATTAAAATTCACAATACCGGTATACATAATGCATTTTTTAAAGTCTGAGATGTATCCATTGAATAGCAGAATCCAGGAGTCTTGATAACAACATTAACACAACCATGACATGAAACTAGGCGATAACGTACACGTGTTTGTTCAAGTATGCATTCAGTACATGTCAACTTTGATTTGACATAGTATTTACTCTCCCAATATATTCAGTGTTATTTATTTGCTTAACATAACCACCACTTACTTATCTGTCAATTCCCTGTACTCTCCTACTTTGCAAGAGAAATCAACAATTTGCAGTAAAACCTCCATGCAGGAATCATAATGTTTCCTATACTTGGCCTCAGCTCTTTCAGCAGATATCTGGTCATGAAGTTCTTTATCCTTTTTAGTCTGCTCCATATACTCCACCTTAGCTAGCCTTGCCATTTCCTGAAAAAGAACAATTTGATTAATAATGATAATAATAACAATATAGGTTACAACTGAATCTCAAAAAAGAAATATGAAAAGATATTTTAGAAGACTTACAGCTTCTCGGTCAAGAGCATCCAGGAAGTCCTTCATTCGTCTTTCTTCATACTGTTTTTCTCTGAATATCCTGTTCTGCCGAATGACTTCTTTCTCATGTCTTGCCTGCAATAGCTGGACTGCTATACGTCTTTCCTGCTGGGACTGTCTCATGAGGCGGTTAACAAGCATTTCTTCACGCCTGGCTTCCTACATCATGGGATAAACAAAATTAGAAATATTACTAAGAGCACCTGGTTTATTGTAATATGAGGGGTGACTTATTTACAACTATTAAATTCTAAATCTTTGTCTACTCCACAGTGTCTACAGTGAATTTTATGAAGGCAAGAATGTGTTTTATACAAATATTTATAAAAATGTTTATAAGTTTCCAATGATGACTGAAAACAACCTGACTAATCACAACACATTGCATGGATGCATGGCAGTAAATCAGGTAGTGGCTGAGGAAACTTACAAAGACTCATAGACAAATATTTTTTAAGCCAATAGAAGCATATTCTTTGGAACTGAACAAAGCGTGAGAATCTTCCAGGGTAATTTTTTTTTAAAGGGCGGTGGAGGTCGCGCTGAGCATATGTGACATGTGTGTTGATAAACATTGATTTTCCCACAATCCAATGCACTCTTCTAATGAAAATCACAAATATGAGGTTTGACCTGGGCGCGAGTTGCACTAATTACCATCAGTGACTCCTTCGATAACTTCCAATCACCTACAAAAATACCCTGATTAAAGCTAAAGTAACGTCTAAATTTGTACTCGATGATCTGCGCAACAGAGTGGTGCGACGACTACTGTCCTTTAATAAAACATTTATGCCAAACAATAGTTCCTATATGTACATAAACTGTATTTTGATAAGCAAATATTTTGCTGTAATGTTATCCCAATAATATTATTATTATTACCGTATTTTTTGAGACCATAAATTGCTTTTTTTATGATAAAAATCATCATTCAACTCAAAGAATTAAACTCACTTCTTGGGCTTCATGTGCCTGCAGCTGATCAACCAGCACTTTCCTTCTACGCTTCTCTCTTTCCTCCCGAGCAACAGAGTCTTCTTGCAGTCGTTTGCGAATCTTGCCGATGTACTCATCATTGGAGGCGGGCTGAAATATTACAAAAGAAATAACATATACCGGTAAGATATCAGCTCAGTTATTATGTGTGTTAAATTTAATGACAAAAAAAAAAAAAATTGAAAATAATTTACTTTTATTAGATCTATTTGTTCAGATCTTGGTCTTTCAGCTTCCTGAATGATATACTGTGTAAGATCTTCATCTATCTCCCTAAGAAACAAAAAAAAAAAAAAAAAGAGTATAAACTTTGTGTCTGAATCAAACTGTAATTTTCAATGTCCACAATGTATTCTGATGGCGCTCAGTTTTTAGGCCAAAATTTAGAAGAAATTGTGAAGAAAGTACTGAATGGCATTAAAGCATTCAGGTAGGGCAATTTTGGGTATTGGCTCTATTCATTTCAAGCCCTGTTGAAGCGTATCATATTTGCTGTACAGGAAGGGCATCTCTAATATAGGCACAATTTGATGGCATTACAGTTCATGTATATAGGAATGGCATCAAGTAATTAGCAATGCCACCAGAAATTGACCCTTCACTAACATGTACATGTAAATAGATACAAAAACACACTTGGCAAATAATAAAACACCAACTCTAAACACGGATGCGGTAACTGAGAAGGTTTATACTGTAAACTGTTCAAATTTTACAATTTTACGGTTTTTAGGACAACAAAACTTGGCAGTATTCACTGTCCTAATCATTTAAACGTAACATTCATCACAAAATTCTTGAAAATGTTTTCTCTTGTAAAAATAAAGTAGTTTAAACTATTTCATTCATCTCAAAGTTTGACTTTATTACTCACATTTCATCTCCTGTCGGAGGTACCACACTTTTTAATTTATTCTCAAAATTACTAATTTGTGTCATTGTCTCTTTAGCTTCTTTTTTCTTTCTCAGTTCTGTTCTTAAACTGATGGCTGCTATGGTTCGGTTTGGTGGTGGTTTGGGTATATGCACTGCAGCTGCCCGTGGGAAAAAAATTAAAAAACACTTCAATCAGAAATTATTTGTCGGTTATGGAAACATGCATCATTGTTAGTATACATGAATTGAAACAAATATCACAATTATTTCATAAATAGACAAACTCTTACTTTATTCTGGCAACCATCTCTGTTCTCCTCATTGTAGTTTGTCTTGCCTTCTCTAGCTCCAGTTGCCTTTGGTCCTGTTGCCACTTTCTCAGATTCTCCTCAGCCTCGTAACGAGTGCGAAATTCAACTTCTTCATGCTGGTTCCTCTTGTTACGGAACTTCCCAGCAAGGTTATCCAGATCTAAATCAGTTTGACGCGGTACAAGTTTTTTCAATCTCTGAGGAAGAATATGAGAACCAAAACTCATCATAATCATCAAATAAATATAGATGTCCTACACGAAGCAGGAATTAACAATACGCAAAATGTGCCTTCATATTAACACATTGTTTGCTGATATCATTTTTTCTCTTTTATTTTGGCTATCCATGCAGGTTTTCAGCAGGCATTGTGTTAAATGTAAATACAAATTAATGATTTACAGTAAATTCTACAAAAACTATACAAATTATGATCAACAGTTACAAAAGAACTGAGAGGTTACCTCAACGTAAATAGGTCTCTCCATACTTTCCAGTTTGACAGGAGCACTAGGTCTCATTGTCTCAATAGCAACGCCAGTTAGATTTGACTTAGTTTTGTTGTTCAGAGCGATATAGAGCTGGTACATGAGTGTTGTGGCAGTGCCATGCTTCTCAGTCATGATGTCACGGGCAAGGTTTGTGTCAAATGGAACTCCCAAGAGATGTAGAATGGGTTCCAGACGAGTGAAGTTGTTGAGACGAGAGTCTGTGGTTCTGTAATAATAATATGAATTATAATACAAGCACAGTACATGAGATTTACTTTGAATAGCATAAAGTCACTGTTATTGGTAGGCTGGATATCTTTAAGTGAGACTCTTACAGAATAACAATTCAAGACATGCCATGATTTTTGTGATTTTAATAGAGATGGTTGCAGCTATTACTTACTTGCTATGTGAGAATTGGTCAAAGTCATCTTGCAGTTGGTATTTGTGAAGTACTTCTCCAACTAGATATCCAGTGGAAAATTCTCGAGCAAAATTGTCCAGTTCTAAAATTTGAATGCAAATAGTTAAAGTACACTTGCACTAATATCAGGTTAAAAAAAAAAATGGTTCAATACAACCGTCTTTGGGAATGAGATCCTGTATTCTAAAAATAGAATCATTGGGCATTAAGGCATATGTACCTTGTGTGAAACAGGCTGTTTTCTTTTAAAAACAGTCAAAGTAATGCACATGCTTCATAAGACAATTTATTTACAATACCATTTTTTCAACTTTTCAAATAATTTACTACATATATATCTTTGAAGTCAAACCACAAATTCAAGACTAGTGACTACCATACAGGGCTCAAAATTAACCTTTTCACCACCAGTTCCCTCTTTTCATCACAAATTTACAAAACAGTCCGTTTTTAGTCTGCACTTTCATTCAGAAGATTTTTTGTGTAAAAACTGAAAATTGATTCAAACTATGTCTGTTGTCTCAAAAATGATGGCTCATTTCCAGAAATATTGAAGACTATAGAAAAATAGTGCAGACAAATTTGGTAGAGAAATTTATTTTCTTTATCCACAAATTGAGCAATGACATCCATTTATTTGTGTTCATACTTTTGTGCAGGACTGCAAATACCAAGCCCTGAATTACATGTATGGCTACAGTTTTGAGCATTTTTTGTAAAAAATATTCTACCGGTAAAACTGCAGTACAGAAAGTTGGACTGGCAACTGACTTTAGTTTTACTCATTATTTACAACTTTTCTAAAAAAAAGTTATGTTTATCACACATCTCCTGTCACAGTGTCAGGATATTCTAGAAACATTCAAAATAATCATACAATAAATGTCATGACTTTTAAAGATTTACTTCATTGTATATTTTCACATGACTGTATTTATACAGGGTCTAAACTGTGACTAGATAATATTTTGAGAGTGAAAACAATGATTTCAATATTTTTGCAAAGATCGACCCATTACTGGGTGGATGTCAAATGAAGTCATGGCATGAAGCCATTTGAAGGGCTCCAATATTGACTCAATGGACTACCAGCTTTCCAATTTGGTAGCCCAATCGGTCTTTTGAGCAAATTGTTTAATTTTATGCAAGTATTTATTTATTTATGCTTACTACGTTAACCGTGTGCACAGTCTGGTAAAGTACAGGGAATGTGAGTCTGGGGGTCCAAAGAATATATGCAGTGCGGTAACAGTGGACGATACAAATTACAGGAGTGTATAGTAACACCCGTGGCTTGCCAAAATGGCAATCGACAATGAACGTGAAAACCCTTGTTATGGTCTATGTAAATATTAAATGAACGATACATGAACGGTCAGTTTATAATTCAACAGTCCCTCAACACCGTTGTTGAGGGACTGTGATGAATCCTATCAATTGTGTACATTGAAGTAAGTGGCAGACTGCTTGATCGCTCAACTTACCCACTTTTCTTGAGAGATTGAGCTCATCGTTGAGCCAGCGACACAGTATTTGCGTCATTGTAGATGTTTACACTCTCGGAAAAATATCACACGTCCAAAATAGCGTAACTGGCATCCATGTACAAACGTTTTATTTTACAATTCTGTAGATGTAACTTTTTTCAGCACATAAACAAAAATCCAAGATGGCGGAATCAACATGGCAACAAGGGAGGTTGAGCGTATCAAGTAAAAGCTGTTTCTATTGGCCAATCAATTATAAACGTTTCTAAACAGAGTTGTGATTGGGTTGCAGGCTAAAGACCCCCGTTACGGTACAATAAAGTAAGTTCTGGCAAATTATAATTCCATAATGGATCAACGAATAATTACATATGCATTATAATATTTTTGTTATAATATTTTATAGAATGCTTTAACAGAAAAATCTATTGAAAATACAGAAAAAAAAAACAATGTTGGTAGCAGGCCAGTGTCAAGGGTCAAACGTCACTTCCGCCACATGTAATATTAGTGACGAAAGAAAGCAGATTTTAGCAAAAATGTTCCACAAACCGTTTCGCGTAAGATCGAATACAACGATTAAAGGTTCAGACAGGTAGGCGATGTATAAACATTCATTTTATTTATTTACGGGTTCGTCCTTGCTGCTGTTGTGTTGGTACTGTCTTTCTGACATTTGCCAGATGTTTGTATTAAAATACTACTCAATAGGAAGATTTGTGAATTATGATGATGGTACTGTTTTTGCGGAAAAAAATTCTAATCATTTTAAAGGGGGTGGTCGTCGAATCTCATGTAAACAAACAATGTATTTTACGTCGCTATTAGTCCCATATCGAACAGGACGCGACGCTACGGCAACCGCCCTTTAAATATTTAGAATTTTATATGGAACGTACCAATGAAATCTTGAGTAATGTCCAGTAATGACAACAAACAAAGCAACAACATTCAGGACAACAAAACTTACAGTATTTATATAAACAAGACCCTTTGTAAATTTGATAAATTCTATTTACACCAGATCTTCAAAGTCATTAGATCTTCATCACAACCATCATAGCCTCACTTTATTAAATCCATGATTTTAATAATATTAATGACTAATAACACTACTACTTTAACTACAATAATATTACACATCAGGTGATACTGCACTGTAATATATTTGTGCATTGAACATTTCAGTATTTTTAAAGGGCAGTGGACCTTCTGTTCGATATGGGACTCATAGCGACGTATACGACCCATGTAAAATACAGTTTTTATTTACATGAAATTAGAACACACTCTGCGCAAGGACTATCACCCTTTAAGTTGTATTATAAGCCTCAAATGTTAAACATTTCTCTGATTAAACTGTTTGGTATATAAAGACTATGAATAGACAAGGTTAATTTAAAAAATTAGTGGATCTTTATGAACTTTCTTTTTTAAACATACCTACCACTATGGAAATTTATCATGGATGCTTATCCATGTGTGTGTTTCTCGATTCAATTATATTTGTTGTTGTTTAATTATAGTTATTATTTTTCATTCGTATTTACTTTGTATCGATAGACAACCATTTTCTGTATTTGTTCGTTTTCGTTTCATTCGATTCCAAGCATTATTCTCTGAGTTATGTCTGTTAG